GGGGGGGGGGAGTGCAGGACACATCGAGCCTCCTGCATGAGCCCCGGTCAAAGCTGGGGATCGAAGCCCACAACCCAGGTATATGCCCTTGACTGAGAATCAAACCTGTGATGCTCTAACCACTGAGCCATGCTGGCCAGGGTGCTCCTCTTTAATTTTTTGGAATAGTTTGAGGAGGATAGGTGTTAGGTCTTCTTTGATGTTTGGTAAAACTCACCTGTGAAGCCATCTGGTCCAGGACTTTTGTTTGGTGGGAGTTTTTTGATTACTGCTTAAATTTCATTAGTTGTCATTGGTATATTCAGGTTTTCTGATACTTCTTCGTTGTGTTTTGGAAAATTGTATGTTTCTAGGAATTTGTCCATTTCGCCCAGGTTGTCCCATTTGTTAGAATGTAGTTCTTCATCCTATTTTCTTATAATTCTTTGTATTTCTGTGGCCTCAGTTGTTATTTCATCTTTCTTTTCTTAAAAAAATTTTTTTCATTTTACTTTTTCCATCACATTTATCTTCTCTTTTTTTTTTTTTTAAGTATATCTTTATTGATTTCAGAGAGAGAAAAGGAGAGGGGGAGAGAGAAATAGAAACATCAATGATGAGAGAGTCATTGATCAAGCCCACAACCCGGGCATGTGCCCTGACCGGGAATTGAACCCTGATCACCTGGATCCTGGGTCGACGCTCAACCGCTGAGCCACGCCCGGCCGGGCCATCACGTTTGTCTTCTCTATGCCCTATTCTACCTCCACCTCCAGCCCCTGCAATCACCACACTGTATCCATGTCCATGAGTTGTCTTTTTTTGTCTTTTTTGTTCAATCCGTCCACCCCCTTCCCCAACACTCCTTGCCCACCCCACCAGAGCTGTCTGCCTCCCTTCTATGAGTCTGTCTATTTTACTTGTTAGTTGTTTGTTCATTAAATTCCACATATGAGTGAGATCATGTGGTACTTATCTTTCTCTGATTGGCTTATTTCACTTAGCATAATGTTCTCCAGGTTCATTCAAGTGGTTGTAAAGGGTAAAATTTCCTTCATTTTTTCAGCTGCATAGTATTCCATTGTGTAAATGTACCTCAGCTTTTTATCCACTCATCTACTGATGGGCACTTGGGCTGCTTCCAAATCTTGGCTATTGTAAATAATGCTGCTATGAACATGGGGGTGCATATATTCTTTTGAATTAGTGTTTCTGGTTTCCTTGGATAAATTCCCAGAAGTGGGATCACTGGGTCAAATGGCAGTTCCATTTTTAATTTTTTGAGGAATCTCCGTACTGTTTTCCATAGTGGCTGTACCAGTCCGTATTCCCACCAACAGTGCATTTCATCTCTTTCATTTCTGATTTTATTTATTTGGGTCCCCTCTCTCTTTGTTTTTTGATGAGTCTGGTTAAAGATTTATCAATCTTGTTTCACTTTTTGAAGAACTAGCTTTTGATTTCATTGATCTTTCGTATTGTTTATTTTTAGTCTCTATGTCATTTATTTCTGCTCTGATCTTTATTATTTTCTTCATTTACTTACGTTGGGCTTTTCCTGTTCTTTCTCTAATTCTTTAAGCTGTAGGGTTAGAATGTTTACTTGAGGTTTTTCTTGCTTCTTGAGGTAGCCTCATAGGCCTGTAGTGCTAGGAATGTCCCTCACAGGGCTGCTTTCTCTGTGTCCCATAGATTTGGGGTTTGGGGCTGTTGTGTGTTCATTTTCACTTATTTCCAGGAAATTTTTTATTTCTTCCTTGATCTCCTTGGTAACCCACTCACGGTTTAATAACATGCTACTAGTCCCCATGTGTCTCTTCCTTTCTTGTCAACCCTCTGCTTCTTCTCTCATCTTTGATAAGTTCCACTGGTATTTCATGGACACGCCCCTCTAAGCATGGGAACTGCTGTGTGGGGGCAAGACCAGCCCTGTCTGAGGTCAGGGACTGTGAAGGCCTGGAGTGTGAAGCAGCACAGTGTCTGGTAGATAATTAAATTTCTAGGCTTTAGCATCACACAGACTTGAGTTCAAATTCTCTTCCTCTGAGAAGTGGGTTTTGTTTTAGGTGAGATTCTTAACCTCTCAGCCTCTCACGTGTAACATGGAGCTTTGTGGTAAGAATTAGAGGTACTTTATAAAGCAACGAGCAAATGTACAATAAACAGTGTTTATTACTGTGGACATTATTGTCATTAGAAACCAATCTGTTTTTCCTAAGCACTATACCTATAATTCTGCAGTTACCACCACCTGGACCATAGGGCCTATTTTTCTCTTTATTTTTGCAAGTAGTGCATTAATGGCAATTTTTTTCTTTTGAAGAAAATGACTGAAATTTAAACAAAACGGTGAAAAACTTTGTAATCCAAAATAAACAGAGTAAAGCCTCTAGGTCACAAAACTATTTAGTTGTACATGCTTCTTTCCACCTTATTATTGCCCAGGAGTAATGCTCTAAGCACAGCAATACTGCTTGTAACTATATTTCCTGGTTTATATCATTTTAAACTTTAAGATTTTTTTGATGTAATTAAATTGATCACAATCTGATTGCTTTCCCTCTGGATTTATTAATTTGTTTAACCATTTGTTGTCTGGCTTCTCTACTAGAACATAAGCTCCATGCCTAGTAGGCCTTCCATGAATATTTGTTGAATGAGTGAAGTTGTGTATTTCCTTGATAGAAAAATAATTTAAAATAATAAGTTGACATGTCTTGAGCATTTTCTACCTCCAGCCACTGAACTCAGCCTTTACAGACATTGTCCTGTTTAATTTGCATAGCAACCCTGAAAGGTGGGAGCTGTTATAATCACTTCACAGAAAACAAAACTGAGGCACAGCAAGGGGGGTTACTGTTTTGCCCAAGGACGAAGGATGAAAGCTCAGGACCTTCTGGCCCCCACGTGTGTGGATGGTGATAGGAGGCTGATGACGGTTGCCTGTGGGTGCCCTAGGGTGCAGGGCTGCACCTGCCTGAGGAAGGGAGGCTTTATTGTCTTTCAGTGGGCTCCACAGACTCTGCAGTGTGCGTGCCCTCCCGCAGCCGCCCACAGTTTCTCTTCCTCGGTAAGGGATTTGTTAACGTAAGAAACATTCAAAGCTGTGAAGAATTTTTGCGAGTTTATTTGAGCCAAACTGTGGACGCATCCCGGGAAGCAGAATTTCAAAGGACTTGAGAGAATGCTCCGGAGAAGGGCAGTTTTGCACCTTGTTTTAAACATTACAATCAAAAGAGGAGGCCCAGTTGGGTTACCTGAAATCCATCGGTGATAGACTAAGGAGGTGGGGGAAAGCAAAGCCGGGAACCTTTGGGACTGGATAAAAGTAAAATGAGAGACACAGGCTTCTTTTACTTAGGGGGTGCAGGATAGTTAACAGTCAGCAATTAATATAACAGTGATTAGGAGGTTGTTTGTGGTCTGGTTTGTGGTTTTTAGGGCCTGGAAAAAGGGGAAATTACTTTGTTTTTTTGCAAAGGCATGTTAATTAGATAACCAACAGGCCTAGTTAAGGTAAAGATTGACCTTTGTTAGGGAAAAATACTGCCTCAGGACAAGACTACCCACCCGAAGCTGCTTTTGGTTGAACTACGTTTTAGTTTCCCAGCTTCCTTTGTGGTTACCGAAGGCCACCGGAGCCTGTCGGGTTTAGTGCGCGGCCCCTTCTCGCAGCTTCCTCACCCAGCTTCAGTTCTTTACCCTCTCCCCGGCCTGGGGTCCAGAGAGACTCAGGTGTCGCTTGATCCGGCAGATCCTCTTCATCCTGGTGGATGCCGACGAGCCGAGGAACGGGCGCATCTTCAAATACTTCCACATCACAGGGGTCGACATCCCCGCCGTCCAGATCCTGAACTTAAGTTCTGACGCGAGGTACAAAATGCCTTTCGAGAACATTACCCTCCAGAACCTCAAGAAATTTGGGCACAGCTTCCTGAACAGAAATGCCAAGGTAAGTTTGTCCTTGAGCAGGGTTTACCCCGAACCTCAGGGTCGCTTATCTTTTCTTATTCTGCTGGTTGGCTCATCTGATTGACGCTGAAGAAAGGTCAAGCTCAAGGTTCCATGTGGGGACATATCCCCATGTCCCCCACCTCCAACCTATTCAACTTTTGATCCGTCCTGACCCTGTACAACTCCACCATTAATTCTTTATACTTAGAGTAAAGGTATTTCCTTGGCAGAAATTACCAATTTGAAATGCAGGCACCCCCAGGGCCGATACCCTCTTTTCAGATTCTCATGTGAAAGATTTACTTGGCTGAAGGGTAGATGGTTGCTGTGCGGCTGGAGATGGGCTGAAATGTATTAAGTAATCAGGATTCAACCTCAAAGGCTTCAGGGGCCTTTTCTTTGGAGAGCTGGAAGGGAGGCTATTTTGCTAGAAGGGAGGAGAGGCTGCCAACGGGTGGCATGGTCACCTGCTGCCACTCAGCACTTGCCACATACTCCACCGCCCTGCCCATTTAGGTGACCGCATTTTTTATTTTCTAAATGGGGGCACTTTTGAGGGTACTGGGGACATTCTTTAAAAGTATTGTTGGACAGCAGGAATAAATTGGGATTCTCCAGGCAAACCCTTTGCTCTGGGGGCTTCTTTCCGTCCACGACCTTCTGTCTACATCCCCACAGATAAAAATACTTCCCCTGCAGTCTTCCCCAGCGAACGCTGTTTTTCTCCTATGCACGTTGTCACAGGCCAAGCGGTGAGACTGGTGTCCCCCATGTGACTTCTCCTATCTTCGAGACGCCCCCTCCCCCAGGTCCTTTGGGTCCTGTGCCTTTGGACTTAATCTGCTCCTGCCCCCTGTAGCTCTTGTTCTCTGATCATCTCCCTTTCACTCTCTGAGGACTTAAGCTCCTCATTGCAGATTTGCCCTGCACCCGACTCTGCCCTCATTTCCGGGGATTTCAGTATCTAAAACCCTGGGGTCTCTCCTCCCATAATTGTTGTGTCCACGCCAAGGAAGCCACATGTTCTATGGCTACACTCTAGAGATGGCAGGCCCCTTTCTGAAAGCCTGGTTCAAGCTTCCCATCCTCTTAGTTCCCTTCTCTAAGACCCACATGGCTGCAATCCCTTGCCTTTTCCATGGTTGCCACTCTCCTGATCGCATTTTGTTGTGGGTGGCAGGAAACGGCACTGGGTGTTAGTCTGGTGGGGGTCACACCAGACCTGTGTTCAGCAACCTCAGTACTTGGGTTCATGGCTAGGAAAGAATTCAGAGCCAAGACCCAAACTATAAGAGAACATTTATTTAGTAAAATTACAGAGGTGGAAGAAATAATTCCTAGAAGAAATGGGCTTAGGGAACAAGTTATAGAGGCAATGGAAGGGCCCTAGGAGCTTGGGAGTGAGGAAGCTGATGGTAACGTGCCTGGGGCCCAGGAGAGGAAGCAGAGGGAAAGGGAAAGGCACAGGCATGCTCCCAGGAGGGAGAGCCCTGGGTCCTCTGTCCTCCTGGTTTTATGTTAGGGGAGGTCCCAGGGAAAGAGCTCATAATATTCAGCTGCTATCCAGGTGGTCCTTTCAGGGCTGTGGTCTCCACTGATTGATTAGTTGGCACCAGGGCGGTGGGGCGGGGGAGGGGGGTCATTATCCAATGCAGCTGGGCCTGAGGTCAGCCATGGCTGGTTTTGCTGCTTTTCTGGGCCTGGAGCTGGAATACTACTGAGGCCTAGATGTTATCTCTAGGGAGGAAAGGTCAGGGATCCAAAGACATGACCATTGATCCGCTAGGGGAGGAAAAGCCACCCTGGGGGTGAGGTCCCGCCCTACCTTTGCTAGGCATCCAGGGCTTTCCACCCTGAAGACCTTTCGTACCTGGCCCATCGTCCGTGCTCTGCTCTTGTCGGTCTAAATGCCTATCACAATTTCACAATCTCTTCAGTGCCTTCCTTTGTGAACTTGGACTCCATTCTGATGATGATTCTCTAACTCTTCCATGCCCTCCACCTTCTACCTCTTCCACACCCTGTAGCATTTACCAGGCAAAATCATAACCTTGGTTGAAGCCACTTAAGCTTCCTACTGCTTCGAGGCCTGTGCTGCAGAAAAGAACATCACCGTGAGGCAGGCTCTGACGGGCTCCTCTCATAGACACCAGAGGTGTTACCGGACAGCCCCCAGAGTCAGTGGGAGAGGGCCGTTCCCAGTCTCGGTTCTTGTCTTCTCATATAAATGATTTTATACGAGAGACCTTGATTGCATTATGATAAAATGAATTTATTAAAACATTTAAGCAAGTGAATGAAAAAATTAAAGCATACACATTTATCAACGAAACAAGGCTAGCAAATCTATCCATCTGGCTTATGAAGCACAGACGTGCTTTCAGCTAATCTGAAGAGCAAGTGGGATGGGGGTTTCTGCCTTATATACCTGCTTGTCTATAAGTTTTAAAAAATCCCTCTGCCACATATCCTGGTGCAGGTTAACTCTTTGTTATGGTTTTCCCACAATTTATGAGAAGTACCTGGTAAGTTTGTCTTGACAAACCGAAGACCACTGACCTCTGTTTAAACAGTAGGTACTCTTCCTTTCCCTTCTTCCCTGCTGTTTTAACAGCTTCAGGACGATTCACACTAAGCGGTTTCTCTGATTAGTTTGAATTAAGATTCCTCCTCTCCTCCTCTCCTGCATTCTTTTGTGAGGAGAGGTTTTAGCCCTCTGTTCTCAAGATAAGGTCCCTCTACAAGCAGCCTGAAAAGCTTTTGGGCTTTGTTTAATTTTCCTGCCTCAGTTTCCCGATTTCTCCTGCCCTGAAACTTTCCTAGCCTCTTACTATCCTATAACAGAACCCCAAACCAAACCTCTCATGGGCCCTTAGAACTGTCCTGACATCTCTGTATAAATTTCTCTTAGTATGTTCATTCTCTTAATCTCCGACCTTATTTCTCCTCATATCCACTTCCCACTTTCAGTCTCTACTGAGCACTCTACTCATATCATTAAGAAAATAGAAAGTTTTACATAGGGTCCCCTCATTTTCCATGATCACATCTACAAACGTACTTGGAGCTCTGCCCGTTCTCTCTCTTCCCTCCAGTTACATCTTGGGAGGTGTCAAGGCCAACAGGTCCTCTTGTGTTCTTGGATACCCTTCCTCTGATCTGTGGGTATGCCTGATCTGGCCCATTGTTAATTCTTCATCATTTTCACCATTTCCCATCTTCCATGCCCAGTCCCCACACCATATATGCTCTTTTGGGAAGATTCTTCAAGTCCTTTCCACAGGCTGGAGTTGGGGATCAGGGAGGGCATTTAGGAGATGAGGCTGTTGAGTTGGGCAAAGGCCAGATAGCACGGACTTGTAAGCATATTAAGGATTTTATATCCTAAGAGAAGTGGAAAGCCAAACTTGCATGGTGAAAATGGAACTCTGCTGGTAGGAGAATATAGGTGTAGCGAGGATTAGGAGGAGATGTGAGAGAACACTGGGGGCTATTACAGTGATTTCAGTGGGAGATGAAGGCTACCTGGACTAGGGTAGTAGCCATGCAAACAAAGAGAAGGGTGTGGATTCAAGACATATTCAGAAAGCAATGTTTGTAGAGAAAAAAGGTATGTTCTGAGATTGACACCACTGCCTTCAAAGAGAAGCAAGAGCTGGGTTGGTTCTTTCATTCAATCACCCACAAACTATTTATTGAGGTCCTACTATGTACCCAGCAGCGGACACTCAGTGATGAAGGAAGAAATGTCTCCTGTGATATTCTGGCTAGTGTGGTAGAAACACATTAATCAAATAACCAGAAATATAAATATAAATAAAGTTGAGTACTGATACGAGGAACAGTACCAAGTGTTATGAGAATGTGTGGTAGCAAGAGCTGAGCTAGCCTTGGGGAGAGTCCGGGAACTTTTCCCTTGAAGTCATTCTGAAGGATAAATCCGAGTTAACTAGTTAGAGAAGGGAGCAGAGGAGTAAGGCCTGGGGGGCTCTCCAGGCAGAGCAGCAAAGCCAAGGCCTGAGGTGTGGGAGGACCACTAGCCCTTTGGGTAAATGGGAGACCAATATGCCTGAAGAAAGCAAAGAAGAAGGGTGATGAGCTTGGAGGGGCTGGCAGAAACTGAAGTATGATAACATAGGTCATGCAAATTATCTTGGTTTCAATTCTTGGTATAATTGGGGACAGCTAATATTTTTGGGGGGAGACAAACTCTTAAGATCTTAAAGACATGAGCTTAACTCTCATCTAAGGATTCTAAGAATCATGTATTTGAAATGCTAGACTCCATCCCTGTTTGGAGCCTGGCCTCCTCCTTGGCCCTCTGACCCCCATTTGCCCTGGATGATCTAGCTTGACATCAAGCTCCTGATGGGCCTCAGCATCACACATTCTTCCCCAAGGGTCTTGTAAGGATAAGAGCAAGTGTCCCATTGTTTCCATTCAGGGCAGGAGGGTTGGGGGAGAAGATGGGACTGCCAACCCTTTTCTGGAGGCTATTGACCTCTCAAATTGTTTCCTAGAAACACCAATCCAGTGAAGAGCTCCCAATATATTGGGACCAGGGGCCGGTTAAGCAGCTTGTTGGCAAGAACTTCAATCCCGTCGTCTTTGACAAGGAAAAGGACGTTTTTGTGATGTTTTGTAAGTATCTCCACAGACGCCACAGAAAGCAATGGCCCTGTTGTTACTTTTTGAATGTTGTTCCTTAATTCTTGGGCACCAAAATCTATCTAAGCACTATGCCAGGATGGTCTTCAGGCATCCAAAGAGTTTGGATCAAGATGCTATCAGCTAACAAAGCAACTGTGTCCCCACATTAAATTCTTGGAATGTGTGGCATACCTTCCACATACCCCAGGCCTGTGGCTTTGAATGAGGAGAGTGCTGATGGCCGACGGTGACTGCAGGCCGCAGTCTACCAGGCCTCCTGCTGAGCTGTTCTACACAGGATTGCATTTACTCCTCGCAGCATGCTTTTGAAAGTAGCTGCTATTATTACTGCCACTTTACAGATGACTAAACAGGGAGGTGAGGGACTTTTCCAAAGTCAGGCAGCTAGTAAGTCCTGGGACTGGGGCTGGAAGCTAGATAGCCTGACTTCAGTGCTGACGCTGGTGACTGCTGCACCCAGCGGCAGTTCTGGTTTCGTGTAACTGAATGGTCGTATTGAACCTGCCTGAGTTGGTGTGCCCGATCTGTGGGCCCAAATCATACACATAAAGGACTTAGCAGAGCATCTGGCGTATTGTAAGCACTTGATAAGTAACAGCTCTTATTCCTTTTGTTATAATTATTTCCCATGCTCATCTAAGGACGATTGCCCTTTCCTCACTGTCCCATTTTCATGTCACATCCAAGGCTGAGGACCTTCTCTCCCACTCTGAGACACAGAGAAGGGCGACACTGAAGTTACTCCATACGTTCTGTTATTCAACAGATGGAGTTTCCATTAATTGAGCACTTACAGTGAGCCAGGCATGACTTTGCCATTTACACACTTGCTGTCATTTCCTTCTCAAAATAAGCCTCTTAGGGAGGTTCAGTGGATTCCTCCATGATACAGATCAGGGAACCCAGCCTCAGAGAAGTTAATCGCCTTCCCCCAGGTCACTTCCTAGAGGGTGAGACAAGGGCTGGGTGGCATCATGAAGGCCTTTTAAAATCTCATTGAAATGGACTCTTATCCACAGTGAAGTGTTTAAGGTCTGTGTGGCTGAATAACCATGATCTGCTGCCTTTAAAAGGCTGGGGCAGCCTTTCTGAACTTACCTGACACCTGGAGTTATGAGAATGGCCATTTGGTTCTGGTAAAAGGCAAAAGCAGCCTCATTTTCTTGGAAGCAGGGCTGTTAGAACGGTTCCCCGGGGACTGTAGTCATTATGTTCCTTCCTGTTCCAACCCAGGGCCCAGTGGGCTCCGGGGGAACTGCAGGGGTGCTGCTGGGAGAGCAGATGGTCCCCGACGCTCCTGGCTTGTCAATGGAGGGATGTTCATCCAAATGTAGGGTGTCTGGGCCATTGAGGCCACTCTACACACAGAGAAAAGAACTGAAATGGACTGAGAGAAGGCAAGGTCTGATTGCCCCCGTCTCGAAGCTGGCCCCCGGTTTCTCTCCAGAGGGCTAGGTGCTTGGGCCAGACTCAAAGCTCAATGAATTAACTGTTCGTGAGGAAGCCGGTGTCCCCTCTTCAGGGGTAGATGCACTCATCAGAGCCTGTTCACTCTCTGGGTGTCTCCTCCACGGAACCGGAAGGCAGTGAGGTCTAATGGTCACAAATCAAAGCAGCCTGTCTGTAAATCACACTCCTCTGCTTAATTGAGTGACCTTGGGCTAGGAAAACTCCGGAGCTTACACACACACACACACACACACACACACACACACACACACACTTTCTGGCAGAACATGAGGACTCATCTGGCATAAATATTTTTCTTGGTTTTTTTCTTCAACGGGAGTGGAAAGCTATGTTAGAGGAAACAAAGAGCAGAAGAAAATCTCCCAACACGGTGAAGGTATTGGTGCTTGGGTGGAAGGGACATAACTCTTCTAATGTTTTTAATCACGATCAGGTGGTACATTTGAGATGTAAAATGACCTTCCATACTATTGAAATAAAGGGGGGATACAAATTTTAAAGCAGCAGAACCATGGATGGAACACAGAGCCAGTGCTCACGGGGAGCTTTCGGAATCTTCACCCGTATGACCTAAGCCACGGCCCTCTCTTGCAGACGCCCCATGGTGCTCCAAGTGCAGGGCGCTGTTCCCCGTGTTGGAGGAGTTGGGCATAAAGTATCAAAACCACTCCACAGTCATCATCGCCAAGATCGACATCACAGCAAATGACATTCAGTTGACACCCCTGGACCGGTACCCCTTCTTCAGGCTCTTCCCCACCGACTCGCAACAAGTGAGGGGCTCCTGGGTCTCTCGTAACTGGAAATCTGCTTATGTTATTACGAATGCAGTTTCTCCCTATTTCAGTTCTGCCTCCTACCAAGCCAGCTCCAGGCTCAGCTCCAGGCCCTATTATACTCTCCGGTTCAAAGGGTGTTTACCGTTGGCTTCCACAATAGTCCTAAGGCTCACTGGCACTGGGTCCAGCTGAAGTTTGCTGCTCATCTCTGACCCAGTCACTGTGGCTAAGTGGATGTGGGTGTTTGGATGGGTCAGGCCCAGGTTCCATGGTTCCCTCTGGTACCCAGACTAGATGGGGGATATTGCCATGTGAATATTGGGGGTGGGTGCTACTGGAAGGAGGAAGAATGAGCGACAGAAAAACAATCGATGTCTTTGACACTTTGGTATTATAGTCAGCAAACGACATCATTGCTCAAGGAGAGCGCACTCTATGCTGCCTGGCCTAGTGGGGCAGGTGTCAATAAAAGAATGACAAGCCAAGGTCCCTGCTCCCCAGAACAGTGTGGCTGAGTGTGGGGGAGAAGTCATGACCTGGGTCCATCTCCAAGTACAATTGAAATTGGAGAGGACAGATTCTGGAGGGCAGATGGGGCTGGAAGTCTTTATGCGGGGGGACATGGGATTTTGAAGAACAGTAAGGATTTAAATCAGGTTAGGAGAGGGGTGTGAATTAGAGGTGGGAAGTATAAGAAGGGTGGCCGTAGCCCCGTGAAGGACATGCCATGCTCCTGGTGCAGAAGATGCATGTGGGGGAGTCTTGGAAAACAAGGCTGGATCGAGGGGGTTGATCTGTCACAGATCTTTTGTTATCTGACAAGTGGTTCAGACCAGTGGGCAGTGAGCAGTTTCCCAGTCTTAAAGACTGGAAAAGAAAGGGAAATAGTGATGGCTGAGCCACGAACATGTACCATATGCTTTGTAAAATAATAACTATTTTTATTATTCTTGTAATAATAACAGTAACAGCAAATACACATACAGCGCTCACTGCGAGGGAGGCATTGTTCTAAATGCTTTTCATGCAGTAACTCGTTAAGTCCTCCTAGCAGCTCTGCCAGATAGGTACTGTTAAGATCTTCATATTCCGGGCAAGGAAACTGAGTAAGAAACAGCTTAAGCATCCAGACCACCCCCCAAGTGGTGAAGCCAGGGTTTCGGCCTGACAGCGTGGCCCCGTGGTCCGTGCCCTGGTTTTCATCTTTCTCTTGGAGCCATGATGATGGAGGCTCAGAGGTTAAGGAACCTGCCCATTGGACCCAGGTTGTTAGGAACCTGAGCCTGGATTCGTCCGCGTCAGGCCCCGAGTGTTTTGCAGGAGGCACCCCCCTGACGGCGCGCTCTCCTCCCCAGGCGGTGCTCTACGAGGGCGAACGCACCATGCAGGGCTTCGCCGGCTTCCTGGAGCGTCAGGTCAAGGCCAGGCCTGAGGAGGAAGATGAGGTAAGCAGGGCAGTGCTACCCCAGACTCTCCTGTCTCCCACACAATCAAGGACCCAGCGGACTAGGGAAGTGGGTGCCAAGAGCCCCATAATCTTGCGCCCTCTGGAGATAGTAGAGGGTGAGCAACCCTCCGGTTTGGGTGACTGACTTCAATGGCACTGACTGCAAGGAGGCAGGAATGGCAGACTTCAGAGACCCTGGGAAGGGCAAAGGCTCTGAGGTCGCGCTCAGCTCCCAAGGCTGCTTCCCCGAGTCTACTGTCCACTGACTAGGTGACCAGATGTCTTGGTGGGATCCTGCTCTCTGACGACATCCTTCTGATCAGTGGGCCGACAGTCCCCATTCTCTCCTACTCCCATTCATGCTTCATCGATGCCGTCTCCTGAAAGGTGCCATTTCCATTAGTTAGGATCCTTTCCTCTGCAATGCCAGAAACACTACTCTTTGGCTTAAACAACAATGGGAATTTATCCCGCATAACTGGCAGAACATCAGACATAGATGGATCCAGAAACTCAAACTTGTTTTGTGTCTCCCCATCTCTCTTTTTTTCTTTAAGTATGTTTTTATTGATTTTTAGAGAGAGAGGAAGAGGGAATAGAGAGATAGAAACACCAATGAGAGAGAAATATCATCGACATCATCGATCGGCTGCTTCCTGCACGCCCCCCACTGGGGATCCAGCCCCCAACCTGGGCATGAGTCCTGACTGGGAATTGAACCAGTGACCTCTTGGTTCCTGGGTTGACACTCAACCTCTGAGCCACACTAGTCGGACTCCCCCATCTCTGTTTTCTTTGATGATGACTTCATTTCCAAGCAGTCACTTCCACGTAGGGAGTCAAAGATTGCCCCACAGCTCTAAACTAACACCCTTCCAGCTTAGAAAGCCCCTACTTCTTAGTAGCCCTAGCAAATGTCCTGAACAGGGATCTCATTAGCAAGGCCTGGGTCACAAATCCAGTCCCGGAGCTAGGCATGGGGCAGAGGGGACTTAGAGTGGAGGAAGGGTGGTTCCCCAAAGGTCCTCTTACTGGAGGGGCAAAACCACAGTTGGGCACTCCCCCACCCAAGCCCAATAGACCTTTGTATCCATTGGGGTTGTCCAGGTGACTCTCTCTGGATGATTCCAGGGAAAGAGGGTTTGACAATCACCATCACAACTCTCACATACTTCTTGCCTCTTTAGCTCTTTACCCTCCATCTTCCTTTCCTTCCTCTTTTTCTTGGACAGCTAATGTCTGTTGAGCAAAAAGAAGTGATAGAAGAGGAGGTGCCAGCTAAGGAAGAGTTACCTGAGCAGAAGTCGCCTAAGCTGGAGAGTGTGACCAAGCTGGAAGAGCCAGCTGGGCAGAAGTCGCCTAAGCTGGAGAATGTGACCAAGCTGGAAGAGCCAGCTGGGCAGAAGGCAACAGCTGAGGAGAAGGCTCAGCCAGAGGGACCACCAGGACAAGAGAGGAAACCAAGAGTGAAGGAAGAGCTGTAGCGCTTCCAATGTGAGGAGGGAAGGTGCCATTTCCAGGTCCTGGCATCATTTCTTGAGTAGATTTACTCCAATAGAATTATATTTCATTGTGGTGGGGGTGTGTGTGGAGGCTGGATAATAAAATAAAAGCCTCTGAATGTCTTCTGCTCTGTTTTCCCTGTTCCCTGTTTCTCCTGGTTGGCGCTGCCTTGGAAGAGCCGTGTGGCCAGGACTTCAGAGGGGCTGTGAGGGAAGCCATGGTAGCAACACGAATGAGTATCGCAACGTGCTGAGCATTATCCAGTTCTCACATCACTGGGACCCAGGTTCCATTATGCTCATTTCACAGATGAGAAAACTGAGGAGAAGAGGCTAAGCAACCAGCCAGGATCACACAGAAAGCCCTTGAGATGCGGTCCCAGGCAATCTCACAAACTGCGTTTAACCACTGTGCGCACACCACCCCCACCAGGTGGGGGTCCCCAGAGTTTGGCTAAAACTTTCAAATGAGGTGAACTGATTTGTTTACATTGCATTCTGGCGTCGTAAGAGAGAGATCCAACCCCAAGCCTGTCTTCACTCTTGCACATTTCAATAAGTGACCCAATCTCTTAAGCAGCAATGCTCTGGCATAATCCTCAAATTCCTTTTTACCTTTTACTACGGTAAAAGGGACTTGACCAATCCGTGTAACTTGGCCCCACCCACTTCCCTGCCTCCACCCGCCGTCTGGCTGCTGTAGTCTAACTGGTTGCTCTACTGCTACTGTACGCCGCCCCAGCCCCTCCAAAATCCATACTCCATAAAGCTGCTGAAGTGATCTTTTAAAAAAGCCACAGCCCTGAAGGCTCACAACTCTGCCTTGTTTTAAACCTCCAATAGCATTTTACTGCTTTTATAATAAAATCTAGTCTGCTTACCAGGCCTTCAAGGCCCAGAAAGTCCTGGTTCCGCAGATCCCCTCCCTCTCCCCTCTCATTTTCTAGGCTCCAGCCTTGTCTTTAAACATCTCAGACCCTTTCTCCTCATGGTATTTCTTCTGCCTAAACGCACACGCAGTACACACTCCTCCTCGGATCGTCATGCAGCTGTGTCCTTTATTTTTCCTGTTTGCCCTTTATTGAAGGGTCCCACATCCTCATGGGACCCCAGCCATTTATAGCAGGTCCTCCATTTATAGCAGGAGGCCTGGGAGGGGCGGGGAATGGCTTATGGCCTGGACACCACCTCCCTGGAAACAACCACCACAGACAGATAAGGGCTGGGGAAGAGAACTTGCCTCTCTGTTCTCTCCCTGTTGCCCCCACTTGAAAAGAAAGTCAAACACAGGCTGCCCAGCACCCCAGCCCCCACCCCACCCATAGCAGCGTTTGTGGGACTCCCCTCTGCGAAGGGGGGCCCCAGGCAGCTTCCCATTGCTCTTCCTTCACTTTGGTTTGCTCCTGGCAACTCCGTGTCCTCTTCTGTCCTCCAGCCTCCAGCCCCTCACTCTCCCATCACTCCCACGTCATCTAGCACCTACTCGAACCTTCTCATCTCTAGGGCCTCCCTGCCCCAGGGCTCCTGGGGAAGCATCTCAGGCATCATCTCTCCTCCCAGCAAGGGGCCCGGCCAGGCCCCCTCTGCCCAGGATGTGGGACTCACAGGGCTGCCCCACTCTCCTTGAGGTCAGGGGCTGAGCACTGGCGTCTCGTCCTCTGGGGGAGTAGTGTTGGGCTGGATATGGTTGCGGCTGCTGGGGATAACAGTTGTGCTTTTTAGGCTGGAAGTACTGGGGTTCAGGCTGCCCAGAACCCCCTCCTTGGGATCGGCCCCCTCCATCCAGGGAGTTCCTGCGAGGACGGTGGGACCTTCGGGGACTTGGGGGCCTGTNTTCTGGCGTCGTAAGAGAGAGATCCAACCCCAAGCCTGTCTTCACTCTTGCACATTTCAATAAGTGACCCAATCTCTTAAGCAGCAATGCTCTGGCATAATCCTCAAATTCCTTTTTACCTTTTACTACGGTAAAAGGGACTTGACCAATCCGTGTAACTTGGCCCCACCCACTTCCCTGCCTCCACCCGCCGTCTGGCTGCTGTAGTCTAACTGGTTGCTCTACTGCTACTGTACGCCGCCCCAGCCCCTCCAAAATCCATACTCCATAAAGCTGCTGAAGTGATCTTTTAAAAAAGCCACAGCCCTGAAGGCTCACAACTCTGCCTTGTTTTAAACCTCCAATAGCATTTTACTGCTTTTATAATAAAATCTAGTCTGCTTACCAGGCCTTCAAGGCCCAGAAAGTCCTGGTTCCGCAGATCCCCTCCCTCTCCCCTCTCATTTTCTAGGCTCCAGCCTTGTCTTTAAACATCTCAGACCCTTTCTCCTCATGGTATTTCTTCTGCCTAAACGCACACGCAGTACACACTCCTCCTCGGATCGTCATGCAGCTGTGTCCTTTATTTTTCCTGTTTGCCCTTTATTGAAGGGTCCCACATCCTCATGGGACCCCAGCCATTTATAGCAGGTCCTCCATTTATAGCAGGAGGCCTGGGAGGGGCGGGGAATGGCTTATGGCCTGGACACCACCTCCCTGGAAACAACCACCACAGACAGATAAGGGCTGGGGAAGAGAACTTGCCTCTCTGTTCTCTCCCTGTTGCCCCCACTTGAAAAGAAAGTCAAACACAGGCTGCCCAGCACCCCAGCCCCCACCCCACCCATAGCAGCGTTTGTGGGACTCCCCTCTGCGAAGGGGGGCCCCAGGCAGCTTCCCATTGCTCTTCCTTCACTTTGGTTTGCTCCTGGCAACTCCGTGTCCTCTTCTGTCCTCCAGCCTCCAGCCCCTCACTCTCCCATCACTCCCACGTCATCTAGCACCTACTCGAACCTTCTCATCTCTAGGGCCTCCCTGCCCCAGGGCTCCTGGGGAAGCATCTCAGGCATCATCTCTCCTCCCAGCAAGGGGCCCGGCCAGGCCCCCTCTGCCCAGGATGTGGGACTCACAGGGCTGCCCCACTCTCCTTGAGGTCAGGGGCTGAGCACTGGCGTCTCGTCCTCTGGGGGAGTAGTGTTGGGCTGGATATGGTTGCGGCTGCTGGGGATAACAGTTGTGCTTTTTAGGCTGGAAGTACTGGGGTTCAGGCTGCCCAGAACCCCCTCCTTGGGATCGGCCCCCTCCATCCAGGGAGTTCCTGCGAGGACGGTGGGACCTTCGGGGACTTGGGGGCCTGTGGGCAGGGGCAGGGGTGGCCAGTGGGGGAGTAACCTCCTCAGGGGGTTGGGGTGGAGCTGGGGCCCCATCCGTGGCCAGGACTCCCGGCGCTGGGGGTTGTTCTTGAAGGGGAATCGAGGCTTACAGTCACGAGGGGGCACAAAGCGGGCTGGGGGCCTGCGCAGCCCTCCACCCCGGCCCCCAGAGCCCTGCAGCCCTTGCAGCCACAGCTGCTCCTGCTTGAGCCAGCAAAGGCCACCACCACGAAAGGCAGGGTCCTCCTCCATCAGCTGTGACACCTGCTCCCAGCTTGACGGGTGGCGAAGGAGACCGGGCTGAGGGCACCTGGTCCTTGGGGGCTTCCTCCTCTACTACCTCGGACCCTGGGGGCATGGCCCAGGTGCCCTCATTGGCTTCTTCACTCTCATCCTCATGGTCCTGGGTCAGGGGATGACCCTCTCCATGCGGAGCATGCCACCCCTCAGGGCCTGCAGCGCTGGTCCTTGCTGCTCTCCTGCAGCTTCACCTCCTGCACACGGGCCCGGATGGAGCGCTCCCAGGCCCGCAGAGAGCCCCAGCTCTTGGGGTTCAAGAGGTCTCGTCCCTGCTCCCAGTAGATCTCATATAGCTTCCCTCCGCAGAACAGGAGAGCTCAGCGCCCTGGGTCTTACTAACACGAGAGCAGTGCTCGCAGAGCGGGGCACAGCGCCCCTGCCCCGGCTCCTGCCGCCCCGTCGCGGCGTGGGGCCTCCCAGCCCGCCGGCCGTAGGCGAAGGCGCGCACGCTGTGGCCTTGGAGGCATGGCCTTATCCCTGTTGCTGAGATGCAAACTGGGGGTCCTCAGGCAAAGTGCGTGACTGGTAGGAGAAGTCGAAGGCGGAGCTTTGGGGGCCACCCTTGCTCTGTTGGGGACTGATGATGGGGGTGCTGCCCTGCGTGCTCACCACGCTCTTGGCATCCTGGCTACTCTCACGGGCACCGAGGGGCCCAACCCTCACTGCCACTTCCACCGAGGCACCAGCCATGGCCTCAGGTACGTCCACCCTCCTCAGCTGTCGTCCTGGCCCAGGCCAGGGGCCGTATCAGTTCTGGCTGCCACCGGCCCTCGCAGGGGGAGCCCCATCCTACACTTGGGGCCTGGCCACGCCAGCTGGGCTGTGGGGGAACCTTCACTGCGGCAGGGCCCCGGGAGGGGCTTGGCACAGCGCAGACACACAAACTCCAGGAAGCGGGAGACCAGAGCGGGGGAGGCCTGGGCCCGTTCGGGCCGCCCCGCCCCTCGCTGGCCCCCGGGGGACTCACGCCCTGCGGGCACAGCAGTAGCAGCACCAGCCAGCTGTCGTTTTCTTCTTCAAATCTCAGCCCGAATGTCACCACCTTAAAGAGGCCTTCCTAGATTCCAGTATGTGGGCGCATCTGATGAGTTTGCTGTGCTCTCGTCTGCTGCCCAGTGGAGGGGAGCCCGGAGAGCGGACTGCATTCCCTCCCCCTGCGTTCCCCAGCCTGGAGCTCTGCTCGGACACAGGGGACACTCAGTCAGTACTCACGGAGCAAAAGAATTCCATGGCAGGCAGCAGAGACGCGGTTCAGTCACCCCCAAAGGGGCAGGTGCTGACGGTTGTCCCCAGACCCAAATTAGATTCTGTATTAGTTTCCTATTATTGCTCTGACGTGTTACCACAAATTTAGTGGCTCACAACACAGATTTATTCTCTCACAGCTCTGGAGGCCAGAAATCAGCTATCGGTTTCACTGGGCTGGTCATGGTGTCCTCAGGGCTGGCCCCTCTGGCAAGGTCTTCGATGTGCTGCTTCTAGCTGCTGGCGGCTGC